ATCTTGGCCACGTCTCTGGTTTGCTTGCGGATGATCTGGAGCTGGCTAACGAGCTTGGTTCGATCGGGAGAGCTCTTCTGGGACTCGACGTCCTTGGTCATTCGATCGAGCAGCTCGAAGAAATAGCTGCCTTCGTGGAGGTATGCGTGGTTCTCGGAGATAGTTTGCTGCCGCTCGGCCGAGCTGTTGTCCCTTAGAAGCTGTAACAGCGAAGAAAGGAGAGGTTTAATCCTCGGAACAATGCTCGCTCGGTCGAGAGAAAGTTTAAGAAATCGAGAAACTTGCTTAACTTTGTTGAAGAGCCGGATCTCCGGGCGTAGTGTCTTGTCCTTGGCTGCCATGGCTGCTTTCAAGGCATTCTCGACTTGATTTACCACTTCTACATTGGCTTCTTTCTTTGCCTGCAAGAGAGAATGGAGAAAACTATGGAGCCATGGCGAGTGAAAGGAAAAACTTTGATCATACCATCGATAGATATGTTGATGCAATGTAGAAGAACTCCTCGTTTAAGTTGTCCACGAGTTCTTCCGCTCGCTTCTCTTTCTCGGCCGACTTGAGAATCTCCGCTAGAACCTCGGTTGCTTGGAGCTGGAATTTTCTCGACTCCTCGATTTTTTTATCTAGAATTGTTCCAACACCAAAAAATCGCACACGAAGAACACTAGGAGGAGGGAGCAACCGAACCTTGTTGATCCTTCTCGCTCGCCTTGCAGACGCCGCAATAGCGCTTGCTGGATCGCTGCTGGATCGCCCCGACACGAACAACCGAAGGGATTCCTGAAATCCACTCATCCATCAGTGGAAATCGCAATGCAGGAAGCTACGACGGGACGATCTCACCAAGAGGAGGAAATCGAGGAGGAAATGGAGCTGGAGCTGCGGCGAAATCCGGCACTGCCACTCCCGCCCGCGCCATCGCGTTATCCAAAATCCCAGCAGCTATGGTGGCATTTTTAGGGCTCTTCGCCACATGGAGTCCGCGATTTCCCGCTCGCTCCAATCGCTGCCAATCTCCAGCAATCGCTTCAAGCTCTCGAATCCCCGCGGCATTCGCTCTACCAGATTGAGCAAGGCGCCGGCGGCAGCTAACAATCCCGAGACTTTCCTGTCCGCGGAAGAGGCCGGATTGATCGAAATGTCGGGGCTGGGCATTCACGAGCGCTTCCTCGCTCGCCTCACGGTAAAATTCTCCCTTTCTCCTCCCTGGCGAGGGAAAATCTCGCGATCTTTCATCCTTTCTATCTTCCATGACTGGACCTATCATGTTTTGCAAGGTTTCTTCGTTGAATTTGCTCAAGGTGATAGCCAAACAAGAAGGGCGGTCGATGGAGAGCCTCAACGCGGGAATTATCTGCGACTGGTTTGTCAAAGACAAAGCCAAAGGGATGGAATCCGCCACCCTCAAGTGGGGGGAAGAAGAAGACGCTCTGCCCTAGACCGAGGATTCTACCACCTTCCAGATAACTTTCATGCAAAAGGTGGAATTGCAGAATATGATGACTTTGCTGCCACCACCGATGCATGCAAACTTTGCAAAGGTGGTGGAATTTAGAGTTTTGCAGAGCCTTGAATGCAGTGTCGGCGTACAAATATGATGAACCTCCCAAACCTTGATTTGCGTCAGAGATAATCATACCTAGGTAAGATTTACGACAACGAAACACACACTTCCCTGTTGCAGTCTGCAGAGCTTCTCACGGGTGTTTCAGTGATCTCACCCAAAAAAAAAGGTAGAAAAAAAAAATGAAAAAAAATACCCGACGCTACGAGACGGTCATGAGCGAGATGTGTGTGTGTGCGCGAGTGAGCTGGCGGCAATTCTTACCACCCGCATTTACTCCGCTGGAGATCCTCACAGTCGATCGAATATCACGATCATCTCTCTCTCGATCGATCGACGGGCGTTCCTTTCACGATCGTGATCACTCACGACCTCCAAAGCTTTGAAACACCTCCAAGAAGTTTACCAAATCACGGTGGATTATGCTACTACCGCGAAGTTACCATGTTGTCACTGGCACCGCCAGCCGTGGCAAGGGTCAAAAGGGCAAAAGAGCTTAAAGAACTTATCAAATGGTGTGCTTCGGAGTGTCAAAGCTTGTATGAAATCAAAACCGTGGAGTTTTGATCAAAAAGGGCGAGCCCTGTGTTTTTATTCCCGTTATATGTGAGTCCAGGCAGACCAGACCAGCTATGTGCCAGGCAGCACTGCGCATTTAACTTTCCGACGCGTAGCGATGTGTGTTTTAGTCGTAGATTCGCCCAAGATTCGACGCCGATTCCCTGCTCCTTGAATTCGATCCAATCCCGAGAGTTTCGAGTTTTTTTGGTTGGAGAGGTGAGAAACGCGTCGCTCCCCGTCTGGCAAGCAACCGCGAAGTTACCCGCCGGGGGGGCGAAGTAAAGAAGGTTAAATGAGAAAGAATTTTTTTTACCCTCTGGTAAAGGCCTGTGCTGTGTCTTGGACGTGTATTTAATGAGCTCACAGGTTTGCTTGTTCTTCGAAAACCTGTGCTGCATTGTGGCAGGAGGAGGAGTGAACGAAAGCGCACACAGCAAGCTTTCATTCTCTTCTTTCTCTGTGTGTGTTTGGGATCTCTCCGCTCCTTCATCTGTTTCTTAGACTTGTTGTTCTTGAGGAAGATCTCTGCAAGTTCAAGTTTTCGATCATGGGCTCCTCCAAGGCAGTAGCAGCGATGACGGTGCTCTTAGCCTCGATGCTACTCACGGCCTTCGCGGCCGATGAGCTCTCGACCACCATCGCAGGGAGAGTCTTTTGCGACCAATGCATCGAGGGCCGCTTCACCAAGTTCAGCTCTTTCCTCCAAGGTTGTATATTTCATCACGTATGATCTCCCGGGCTCTAAATCTCTGCTCTTCTGTGCAATGTAGGTGCCAGAGTTGCCGTCGACTGCAAAGATCGCTCCTCCGCCATTGAGGCCACCACAAACGCCGCGGGATTCTTCAGCGTCGCGGTGCCCGGCTCCGCCGCGCTTTGCTCCGTGAGGGTCATTAGCAGTCCGCTCGAGGCCTGCGCCATCGCCGCGCACACCGAGGAGGAGCTCATTCAGCTGGGCGGGAATAGTCTCGGCACTACCCAATCGCGGATCAAGTACACGGGGCCCTTCAGCTTCAGGCCCGAGCAGCCGCTGGATTTCTGCACCAAATTCTCGCCCACGTCTCGCCGGCTGTCCGAAGTCCGCCCCGCAACTTACTACGACGCGCCGGTAACTTCGCCATCCCCAGCCTACAAGAGTCCGTCTCCCTCGCCGGTATATTCCTCGCCATCCCCGGTGTACAAGAGCCCGTCTCCCTCGCCGGTGTATTCCTCGCCATCGCCGGTGTACAAGAGCCCGTCACCAGTTTACAAGAGCCCATCGCCGGTATATTCTTCACCATCTCCCGTTTACAAATCTCCATCTCCAGTCTACAAGAGCCCATCGCCGGTATATTCATCGCCATCTCCAGTCTACAAGAGCCCATCTCCATCGCCAGTATATTCCTCGCCATCCCCGGTCTACAAGAGCCCGTCACCGGTGTACTCGTCTCCTTCGCCAGTTTACAAGAGCCCGTCTCCGGTATACTCGTCCCCTTCACCAGTCTACAAGAGTCCGTCGCCGGTCTACTCGTCCCCGTCACCAGTCTACAAGAGCCCGTCGCCTGTGTACTCCTCCCCGTCACCAGTGTACAAGAGTCCGTCGCCGGTGTATTCCTCCCCATCACCAGTGTACAAGAGCCCGTCGCCGGTGTATTCCTCCCCGTCACCAGTGTACAAGAGCCCGTCGCCGGTGTATTCCTCCCCGTCACCAGTGTACAAGAGCCCATCGCCAGTCTACTCATCCCCGTCACCAGTCTACAAGAGTCCGTCACCCAGCCCAGTGTACTCGTCCCCAGCTCCAGTTGTGATCCCAGCTCCATCCCCCGTCTATAAATCACCCTCGCCATCGCCAGTGTATTCATCACCGTCGCCAGTGTATTCATCGCCATCGCCAGTGTATAAAAGCCCGTCTCCATCGCCAGTCTATTCCTCACCATCCCCAGTTTACAAATCTCCATCTCCGGTTTACTCCTCACCATCCCCGGTTTACAAATCTCCATCGCCAGTCTACTCCTCCCCATCCCCGGTCTACAAATCTCCATCGCCGGTCTACTCTTCCCCATCCCCGGTTTACAAATCTCCATCGCCGGTCTACTCCTCCCCATCCCCGGTTTACAAGAGTCCATCGCCGTCGCCGGTTTACTCCTCGCCAGCGCCAGTATACAAATCCCCAGTTCCGTCACCTCCATACTAAGGTTAGAAAAAGCCATGCACGTATGGATTCGAAGAAATGCTTGTTGGTGAGAAAATAAGACTAGGTGAGATGTTTCTAGATATATATGTTGTCGTAATCTTCCAAATGTTATAACATTGGATTTAGTACCTTTGAAACTTGTGAGTGACATTTGTTGGGCCGGACAGGACAATAGACACAGAAAAGGTGGCGGTGGCCAGGTGACCGGTGTTTCACGAGTTGTGTTTTTGTCTAGAGAATATTAAGACCACGTGAAGCAATGCGCGGCGCCGCGCATTGTAAGTGTTAAAGGGGCAAAAAGATTTCAAAGAATCAAAGAATGTACCTTGGAAAAAGATCCCGAAAATTCCTCTGACCTAGCGCAGAGTGCCCATGTTCGAATCTCGGCAAACCCAGGGGAAAGATTTTATTTGATCTTAGTATTGTTATCCGGATTCAACGGTCAAGATGCAAGGGCATTTCTCTTTTGCAAAATTTTGAAAGTATCGTCTTCGCCGAGGGAAGGCGATGCCCGAGGCGTCCTCCTCCTCCGCCGCCGCCTTGTCCGTGACAATGCGGGAGTTCTCGATCGCCATAGCCGCGCTCTTGCTGCTCGCGTTGACATTGATGCTGGGAAGGGTCAATGCGCTCGTCGTGCTCATCACCGCCGGGAAGGAGACGCTGCCATTCCCGGACGTGGAGGCGGCTTTCGGTAAGCGATCGACATTAGGGTTCTTGCTCTGCTTGGCGGCTTGGAGAAGTCTAGTTTTTGTTTACCTCCTTGGAATGAGTCAAGAGGCTTGTAAGTCGGTGGTTGAGCTCGCCTGCGAGAATCATTAAATTTCTTGGTTTTTTGTGTTCGAGCGGAGGTTTTTCTCGTGCCTTCCTTTTTTATTTCCCCAGATTGATTGAGCTCGTCATTGTTGGATGAATTCCTTTCGTGCTTTTCTCTTTCTCCTTGTGGAGATGTTTTTTGTGTTTGCAAGGAACTTACTGGTTTTTGCCTGCGAGGATTCCACGCTTTTGGTTTTTTTGTTGGTGTGTTTGCTACCATTGTTTGCGTTAAGTCGGTGATTGAGCTCGCCTGCGAGGATCGTTAAATTCCTTGGTTCTTAGTTGGAGTGGAGATTTTTCTCGTGCATTTGTTTTTCTCTCGTCCGTGTTGGATGAATTCCTTGATCGAGATATACTTGTTGTGTTTGCAAGGAACTTAATGGTTTTTGTCTGCCACGCTTTTGGTTTTTGTGTTTGCGTTTGCCTACCGAGGTTTTCTTTTTTGTGTGCAAGGAACTTATGTTTTTTTGCCTGTGACGAATCCACGTTTTTTGCTTCTAGTTTTTTTTTTTCATTCATTGCTTAAATACGACGGACTTTGATCTCAGGTCCCGGAGTTCCGGAAGGTGGTCTTTCCGGAGTTTTGCAATTTGTTCACGATGGTTGTGATCCGATGAGCAGTCCTCCATTCTCAAACAACACTTCGTTTCTTCCAATCGCTCTTGCTGCTCGAGGGAAGTGCTTGTTCGAAGACAAGGTGCTTCACGCGCAAAATGCAGGGTATGCCGCGGTCATCGTTTACAACACTGAAGATTTTCCTTCGCTGGTCACAAGTAAGCTTGCTCATGAGATTGCTCTCTTTGATTTCATTCCTTCTCCATTTCCTTTTATTTTTCCAGTGTCGGGAGATCCGCAGGGAATTCGCATTCCCGCTGTTTTCGTCTCCAAAGCCGCTGGAGAAGCGCTACTAAGTTACTACAATCTCAATGGCACGACGTGCTACATTCTTCCCAGCATGGAAAGCTCGGCGCGATCGCTGCTGGCCGCGACGCTGGTGCTACTTTTGAGCGGCATGGTTACTTCGCTGCTCCTCTTTTTGATCCGGAGATACAGGCTTAGGACAATCGGCTCGCGAGTTCTCTTCCTACGTGAATCTCTCGGAATGAACCTCCGAGATTTGAAGCTCCTGCCGACTCTGATCTACAGGGCAAACAGCGTCTCCAGCGAGACGTGTGCGATTTGCTTGGAAGATTATATCGCGGACGAGAAGCTGCGAGTTCTTCCTTGCCAACACGGTAAGATCGGATGGTTTTCTTTCATGCTTCTTAAGTTTTGCTCTTTCTCTTGCAGAGTTCCACGCAACTTGTGTGGATCACTGGCTCACGACGAGACGATCGTTTTGCCCGATTTGCAAGCGCGATGCTCACTCGAGAGTGAATGATCCGCCAGCGACGGAGAACACTCCACTGCTCGAAGTTCACCGAAGTGACAGAGCAATTTTACCGGAGGTGGTAATTTCTTTGAGAGGCAGTAGCCAAGTTCATCACGTCGCCTCCGACACAGCGCTCCAGCTTTTGATGTCCGCCGATAGGCAAACACGAGTAGAAAATGTGTAGAAAACTTTTTACCTTTGCCTGCTAGGGTTTTTGGGGATGGAGGAGGAGCGCTTCCGCTTGATCCGGAGCGTCGCGCATTCTTGCGATGACGAGGACGGGCTGCGCGCGATCGTCGGTCGTGAGGCCAGCCCGATCTGCTTCGATTCGTTCGAGCCGCGGCAGCGAATGCCAATTGCGCAGGTAGAAATTTCCATTTGTTTGCCACTCGATCGCGAGTTTTAGCTGTGGAACCTCTCCCCAGGGGCTTTTGAAGACGCTGATTGTCAATCAGCTCGTGGATGCCGGCTGCTCCGTGAAGATTTGGATTGGCGATTGGGTCGCGGAGCAGCGCTACTGTGTGAAGAACGAGAAGACCAAACTTAGAGTCGCGGGAGAGTATATGATCGAGGTGTGGAGAGCTGCCGGCATGAAAGTCGATCAGGTGGAGTTTATCTGGGCCTCGGACGTGATCAATGGCCCCAGGACTGCCGAGTACTGGCCTCTCGTCTTGGATGTTGCTCGGCGCTGTGATCTTCCTCGAGTTCTAAGGTCTGGATTTCTATAGTCATTTTCAGCGTTCTAAAGTATTGTATTGTTTTTGTTTGCTAGTTGCTTGGGACTATCTGAAAACTGGGAGGAGGAAACGATTCCTTCTTCGGAGCTACTGTACCCATGCATGCAGTGCGCAAGCATGTTTTTAACCAAGGTAGCTTTTAACTCGATTGTGTATACTCATTCGAGTTTGGATCTCCTTATTTCTTTAGGCTCACATTTGCTTGCTGGGAGCTGATAAACACAATGTAATTAACATGATTGGGAACTATTGCAATGATTTTGATAAAGAACGCAGGCCAGTTTTTCTCTCCAATTGTAAGTATCTAGTTTTTATTGTTTTTCCGTTTTCTGCCACTTACAAAGAATTTAGCTATGTTGCCAAGCCTGGAGCGTTTGCAGAGTCTTGAAGCACAAAAGGAGATGTCAAGGAGCAGCCCAGATTCATGCTTGTTTATGGACGATGAGGAGGTCAGTCGGTATTCAGAGGCATAAAGTCTAGAGAATAAACTCCACGTTTCTGCTTATTTCAGAAGGACGTGAAGAAGAAAATCAACGGGGCCTTCTGTGCCGAAAAGGTTTTAGAGAAAAATCCCTGCATGGATCTGGCGAAGCTCATCGTCTTCCCGTGGTGCCGAGAGCTAACAATCAAGCCTCGCTCGGATGAGGGAACTAAGTACGCAAAAAGTGTTCTCTTTTATTTTGTTCCTGACACAAAGGTGGTTGATGCGTCGCTCACACGCTTGGTAACTTGTCTCACAGGACATTCACGTCTGTAGAGGACTTGAGTAGCGATTATTCCGCGGGATCTGTTCATCCAGGCGACTTGAAGAATGCACTTACGGAATCAGTGAATAAAATACTGCAGGTTCGTGACATTTTTGAATGCATATGCTGTCACTTGGTAGCTCAGATGCTTTTATGCGTCACAGCCGATTCGAGATCATTTCAAGGCAAACTCCAAGGCGAAGGAGCTCCTCTTGAAAATGAAGGTATGCCTGTCAGTTTTGTTTGACTCGCCGTTGGTTTAACATATCTCTATGTCTGCCTGCAGAAGCTAAAACTGACGTAATTTACAGCATCTTATGTTTGTTTTTGGAGGCAGCAAAAGCGATGGATGCTTGGCTCCTCTTTGATATCAGAAAGAAAAGAAAAAAAGGAACCAAGTTCTCTGGTAAGAACTTTTACCGTTTCTTGCCTCAGATCTTCCGACCGGCCCCAATGGTTGTCTGACTTTCAAAGCAAGAAGAGCTGGTTAAGGATATATCCTGGCAAT